AAAATACAACATAAGACAACTGCAGAATTAAAAACCAAATTGCACAAGTATGTATTTAGATAAATTTCAGATTTTATCTGAAATACCAACATTTCAACTTTATCAATCAGCTCATACTACATTAATGTCTTAAATGACATGAACCATATCATATTCTTAATTAGTGAAAATTTTATATCATGAGGTTCGAATCCTGATTAAAAGTTGCAACAAAACATCTTAGAAAAGGAACAATAACATCAAATTCCTTTCATTGGCTGAGATCCTTCAATCCCTTTAGCCAATTACAACTTTTTATGGAAAACTTCATACTTCATTGAGGACCTTTTATTTTATTTCGTTTAAGTTGATCATAAAAGCTCACAAAGGGGGGATGGAGAGATGGCTTAGCGGTTAAGAACATTGGTTGTTCTTGCAGAAGACCCAGATTTGAATCCCAGTACCCACATGGCAGCACACCACTGTCTGTAACTCCAGTTCCAGGGGATCCGACAGCCTCTTCTGTCCTCTGCGGGCATTGCACGACACAGGTACACTTACCTACATGCAGGCAATACACTCGTACACATAAAATAAAAATAATAAAATATTTTTTTGAAAAGTCCACAAAGATCTTAATAAAAACTGCTGTATTGTATAGGATGGTATTGTATTTCAAGTTAGCATTGTCAGTCCAGCTCATAAAGCACAATTTACTTATCTAGAAATAATTTATAATATACTCTACAAAACTACCTAGCAGCATGTATGTAGGCATTTGATCTTCCTTGTGGCCAAGCACCTCAGTTAGTGGGGAGCAGAACCAACATTGGCAGAGCAGATCCTGCCGTAGGATGAGGACACTCTATCCTGTGCTTCTGGAATTGGGTAGGGCTGTTGGCAACTCCTTTTATCAAGTGGGACATTAGTAATGTTCTCAGTGTGGCTTTTTCCTTTCTGCCTGTGCAATGGGTCTGGGGGTCTGTGGAATGAAGCCAAAGAGATAGTAAAGGGAAGGTGTGCTGTTTGACCCTGATATTTTGGCACAAAACTCCTACACCGCTGTCACTCGCGAAACTGGCACAAAGGCTCAGAGCTGATTTTCCTAGGCATTATACTATAGTTTTACATCCCTTGCCACTGTGTGCATCATTCACCCATGCCCTAAACCTATATATGAATTGAAATATTCTGGCTTTTGAACAGTAACAGATGAAAGGAGACAGGTTAAAAATGTGTGGCATGCATTTGTTTGGTTATTTATTTATTTTGGCAGTAGAGGTTCTGAAGGTGGTGGTGGAATGAGAACTATACATTGTTCTGTTTGAGTGGATAGAATCGACAGGAAAGTTTTGAGGGCTTGATCCTGGTTGTATATATGGATTTTAACTCTGCATTACAGACTGGGCCAGTCTTTTTCCAGAATAGACTGTGTGCATAATTGGTGAAAATTAAAATCCATGTGAGAACATATTGTAAGATGAGGCTAATTCACTGTGACAATCTGGCAACTGATAACAGACCAGTGGCAGGGTCAACTTGTTTATCCAGTCGTGAGATATATTCCAGTTTTTCAGCTGCTACAATTTGTGCTTGACAAAAGCTGCAGGTGTCAGAATAGAGCTGGTCTTCAAGAGAGGAGAATGTAGGGTAGAAGATGCAAAGATGGCTAAGTATTAAAATAATCCACTCTGAGCCGGGCATGGTGGTACATGCCTTTGATCCCAGCACACAGGAAGCAGAGGCAGACAGATCTCTGTGAGTTCAAGACCAGCCTGGTCTACATAGGGAGTGTCAGGCCAGCTGCAGCTACAGCTATTTGTCTCAAAATGACAAACAATAAATAAATAAATAAATAATAAATAATAATCCACTCTGATGTTGAGGTTGTGGCTAATTAGTGGTAGAGCATTTGTCTAGACTGTGTTTATTACCAGAACTGTACACACACACACACGCACGCACATGCACACATGCACATATATGCATCACCATCTCCAGAATTTAACTTACTCCATGAGATGAGCTTAACTCTTTTGTGAGTGGATTCTTAATGACCTAATTGTCTCAGAATTTGAAAATGTTAGAATGAGGCTTCAAACTCACACGTGTCAGCAAAGGTCTGTGCTTTAGCCAGGGCACTTGGCTTTGCTGGGTCTCAGTCAAGACTCATCACCGGAAGATCTGATGGAGTTGGTGTGGGCCTGGAAACTTGTGGTAGTTCTGGCCACCCACTGTCTAGAATGGTCAGAGGAGAAACTTCCTGTACTACGGGGGAGGTTGCACCTGATAATCTCAGAGTAGACTGGCCATGCAATATACTCAACTCTGGAATGCTTTGTAGGAGTAGAAAGTGCTTTATTAGCAATTAAACAGACTAGAGATGTTAGTAGCACTGTTAGACTTCAACTACCTTTGGGAGTCAGGGAGATAACCATTATTTAACTCCTAAATTTAACATGCAAATGTAGATATTATAATCTCAGAACATGTCAGTTTATGTTTCCATCATGAGATCGCTGTCACAGGCTTTTCCTAGGAGGACAATGTCCTATAAATCTCTAAGTATAAGTTTCTTTATGACCAGCATCCTGGAAGAATACATATATTGTGGAAAAAAAGTCTCTGTGAGGGAATCCAGCATCACACTTTGTGTTCCCAGTTAGTAGTGCATTAAGTCTGCAGAAACCACAGAGCGTTAGTAAATTGATGCATCCTAAGGACAATATTTGTTCATTAGAAACTCCAATAACTTTTTGTAAAATTGTAATTGAATTTTTGTGCATTTCATATAGAACAGCTTAATCATCTTTGTAACCCCTTCCCCACTGGTACCTCCCATAGGCCCTCCCACTGGAATTCATGCATTTGTCACTTGTGTTAAGGCCTATTGTGTCAAATTAGTGTTCCCAGATGTCCCTCAGTGCAAGTTCATCCACTGAGGTCTAGTCAGCCTATCTAGAGTCCCTCCCTTTAAGAAGATCAGCTCTTCTTCACCCAGCAGTAATCAGCTGCCAATAATTCTTCAACTAAGATTGGGGCCTGCAGAACTCCAATAATTTTACTACATCCTATTTTCCTCATTTTTTCTCTTTCTTTACCACACAATTATGATGGAGCGGTGAGGGTCGGGAACCACGAAAACATAAAATTCCACTGTTCATGTTAGAGCAACATGAATAACGTGCTGGTAAGTAGGTGACACAGAACAGGGAATCCATCTGGATCTGGGGAATTATGGAATCCTGTGCTTCTCTACCCATGTGTCTCATACTCATCGAGCGTCTCCCCACCGCCATTGTATAGTGAAGCTGGGGAAGGAGCTCTTGTGCATGATAGCTATGCTTGTTAATCCAGAGCACACCAGGCTCTCAGACTGTGGTGTATCTGGTATCCTTGTCCTCAGCCTGCAGTAGTAGCTTTCTACCCACAGGCCACTCACTCATTCATTCATTCATTCATTCATTTCTTGTATTCTTTGGTTAGTCATTATTAAATACTGAGTGCCTGGTCTGTCCACTGAGAATGCAGTGTGCAGAATGAGCTGACTAAAGGACTCTGCATGAAGGCCTTGTCTAGAGGAAGAGGAGCAGCACAAGACTGCTTCTGCCACCTGGGTTGGTCTGTAGTCCAAGCCCGCCCTTTTGATGAGCTTCCGTGCTTTCTCCTTCTTTTGGCTGGATGTCCAGGCATGTTGCATGTCTAGGGGTTTGATTATTTTTATGAAGCATGTTGAGATAGCTGAAGACACTAAAGTAAGAATGTCAGTAAAATGGTATAATTGTTATTTTTTTAAATATTTTATTTTGGGGGGCTGGAGAGATGGCTCAGTGGTTAAGAGCACTGACTGCTCTTGCAGAGGACCCAGGCTTGATTCCCAGAGCCCACATGGTGGCTACAAATTGTCCTTAACTCCAGTTCTAGGGGAATCCGAAGCCATCTTCTGACCTCCGCAGCATTGCATGACACAGGTGCACTCACATACGTGCAGGCAATACACTCATATACATAAAATAAAAATAATAAAATATTTTTAAAATTTTTTATTTTTTATTTTATGTATATGAGAGTATTGCCTCTTTGCATGTAAGTGCTCCCATGTTGTGCAATGCCTGCAGAGGTCAGAGGAGGGTGTTCCCTGCAACTGGAATTAGGACAATTGCTACCAGCCATGTGGGTGCTGGGAATCAAACCCAGGTCCTCTGCAAGAGCAATCAGTGCTCTTAAAGATGCTGAGCCATCTTTCCAGTTCCCAGAAAGGTAAAATTTTTTAAATTAGGAAACTATTTTGTGGTTTTTGCCCTGTGTGTCATGCACTTAGGTTAGGCCTATCAGGAAGTATGTGTGGAATTTCTGAACATTTCAGCTACTGTAGATCAGAAGCTGTGAGTCTGTAATTGGGTAAATCCTGCTTAGTTAGTGAAGGCTTTTAGAAACTAGAAAACTTAAGAGTTTACAGGAGGAGGAATTGTTTCATATTTTGTAAAAAAACAACCCAAGAATCCACAATATCCCCTTTCCTATGTTGTTTAGGTGGTATTTTCTGTGTATTTGATGTGTTTCTGACAGGCTGAAGATCCACCATAAATGGGTTATGGTGGCCACGGATGCAGATCCGGGCTTACAGGACATACTGAGCAAGCCTCTGCTGTTATGAGTTCCCCCACACACACCCGACACACACCCAAGACCAGACAGGAATGAAAGGCCTATGGTCCTGTTCTGAGCTTGACCTAAGACATAGTGGGAAGGGGAAGTGAGCAAGTTGTGGGAACAGAAGTGGGCTCCAGGGACAGCCTCTATCTTTGGAAGTTCTGGAGGGGCTGGGTCTGTGGGAAGCTTTTCTGAGCCTGTGCTGTGGTAAAACACCCATGGTCAGGGTTATAAAGCAAGCTCCTGCCTACCTCTTGGAGCACCTCAGAGCAGCGCCTTCAGCCTGCTCTCATCTGTCCTGACCCTTCTTGGGCACTTCCTGCTGGTTTTTAGCTGCCCTGCTGCATCTTCTGCCATCCCAGATGGAGATGGGCAAGTTCCTGCTCATAATCCTGTTGCTGGAGACCTTTTCTCTTGTGTTCTTTCGAGGTGAGAGTGAGGCCCTAGAGGGCTAGACCAGCAGTGACAGTGTTGATAAGGATGGAGATGGCTTGGGAGCAGAGTTAGGATGATGGTTTGACTAGCTGGGGTAGTGTGGGAGCAGGGGGAGGTTAACATTAGAATTCTGGGATGATCTGACTAAAAAGAATTGGAGGTCTTTCTTGTGCTGATCCTTCCTGACTCTTGCCAGAGTAAGAGTTCAGGTTGGAGTCTACAGATTGATGGTCCGTGGACAGGATTCCTATATTAAACTTCACCCACCCAGGGCTCAGGGACCATTGCAGAAGATAGGGTAGAAAAATTGTAAGAATCAGGGAGGAGGTGCATGACCATATGGAAATAGAGTCCTACAAGCTCCTGGGACCCTGCTTATATGATTATATGGCAATGGTGTCAGTATACAAAAGTCCCATGCAAACTCAGAGAGACAAATATCAGCATAGAACTGGGGAAATGAAAAGCAGACCCCAATCTTAGCTGAAGAAACATTGGCAACTGATTATTGCTAGGTCAGGAAGAGTTGGTCTTCCTAAAACAAGAGACTCTAGATAGGCTGACTAGACTTCAGTGGATGGACTTGCACTGGGGAATGTCTGGGAACACTGTCTTGACACATTGGACCTTAATAGGGATGATAAGAATATATAGGTTCCAGTGCAGGAGCTATGGGAGCCCTGCCAGTGGGGACAGGGGTATAAAGATGATTAAGATTATTTGAGATACTCTGTAGAAAGTACACAAAGAATTCAATACAAAAAAGAGTTCAGGTCTCTCCCAAGGTCTGAGTGGGATCAGTCACTCCCTAGGAAAGAAATGAATTGTGTGTTCTTGTACATCCATGTCTTTAAGTATGCCTTACTGGCCTTAAGTGGTAGCTGATGAATGCTCAAGACTTTCTAGAAGTGTCTAGTACAGTCATCTGGAAGGAGAAGGCCACTAAAAGGCTTATCTTATGCCAATTTTTCATATCAAATACATTGTTTTCCCTCAAGTAGATGTGATTATCAGACGCTTTTTGGAAAGAGAGCAGATAATAGGAAATATGATGAGATCTCCTCCTCCTGTGGTGCCAGGTCAATATTTATTCCTCATTTTATTTTTAAAATGTTCATTACATTTATTTCTCTCTCTCTTTCTCTAGTGTTTGTGTGTGTGTGTGTGTGTGTGTGTGTGTGTGTGTGTGTGTGTACATACATATGCTGTTACACAGGTAGAAATCAGAGGACAATTTACAGGTGCCATTTCTCTTCCTCTTCCATATGGATCCTGGGATTGAACTCAGGTCATCAGGCTTGGCAGAAAGAGCCTTTACCAGCTGAGCCACCTCCCTGGCTCCATTTGTGTTTTATTTTTGCCTTTTTATCTCATTATTGTTGTTTTGAGGCTGTTCCCCTCCCATTACTCTCACTGCCCTCTTGTGCCTTCTCAGCAGGCTCTCCTCCCACTTTCATGTCTTTTTTAACAACCCACTGTAGTTAGGGCTACTTGCAAGAGCATGGGTCTGGGCTTATTTGATGGAGCACAGGCAACTTAACAGTGGCTATATCACTAAAGAAAAATGGCTCTCTGACCTGTACCACATTAACTGTAATAGCTCCTCAGAGAGGAGTGGGTCTTATGAGTCCCTCCCTAATCCATGATGGAAGGCGACTGATATTGTGTAAGTTTGAGTTGGGTAAACACAGCTGCTGTGAGTTCTTAAGTGCAGTGAATATATCATGTCCAGAAAACAGAATTTCACAGCGCTCCTCCCCATCTTCCATCTCCTACATCGTCTCCCCACACCCACAACTTCTGCAATGTTCCCTGATCCTGGGGGATGGGTTATATAGATGTCCCATTCATTTAGGGCTGGACACTCAATAGTCACTTATTCTTAGCTCTTTGACAAGTGTCTGAATTAACTGCTGACACACACACAGAGAGAGAGAGAGAGAGAGAGAGAGAGAGAGAGAGAGAGACTTCTCTGGCAAAGATCGGAGACATCACTAATCTATGAGAATACACATAAATATTTAGAAGGCAATTTGACAACATGTCCATTTAGCAAAACTGTAGTAGCAGGCATACCTTCTCCCTGAAGACTAGCTCCCATGGGTGTAGAGGACATTATGCAAGCTGCTAAGGGAGAAAATAAATCAATGGTCCAACCCAGCTCTAAAGCCTAATAATCAATGACTGACATAGCAAGCTATCACTGGTGCAGTAGTGGCACTGTTTTCTAGGGGATGATTAATAAATATCTAATTGGACTTATCCTATCAATGGGAGGGAAATCAAGGGTGTCACTGTAAATATAGCCAAATTCACATGCCTGGGGAAGTCATAGATCCCAGAGAAAACCCTATCTCTGTCATATCTCTTGATGTTCTTACTGTATGCTAAATATGGATCCTTATAATTAGAGACAAGTATACAACTCACCACTCATAAAGAAGCTTCTTTTTGCAACAGATGGAGGTTATTACAGAGCTCCAGACCAGACAACTGGTCACAAACACAGAATATATGTCTGAGAGATGCCCAGCCTTAAGTGACACGTCTACAGCGGAACCTCTACACCTAGCAGAATAGGGGGTAGAGAGAATACTGACACATCCCTAAACTCTCACCAGTGAAGCTTCCTCATACAACAGATTGTGAGACACACAGAAGGCCACAACTGGCCAAGTTTTAGAAAATAAGACTACAGAGTATGTCCCTGGATAGGACTCCTATATTAAACCTCACCCACCCACAGTTCAGGGACAGTTGGGGAAGAGGGAGGTAGAAAGATTGTAAGAGCCAGGGTTGGCTCATGAATATAGAGAAACAGAGGTTTTCAGGCCACTGGGAACTTGCTCATATGAACCTCAATAATGGTGACAGTATGCACAAGACCCAGGCCAACTCAATCAGACAAAACCCAGCATAGAATGAGGGAAATGGGGAGCAGGCCCCAACCTTATCCAAGGAAGTATTGGCAAATGATTACTGCTGGGTGAGGGAGAGTGGCCCTTCTTTGAAGGATAAGTCTAGATAAGGCTCTCTTTTAGGGGAGTGGCTGATTCCAGTGGATGAATTTTCACTGTAGGACACCTGGGTACAAATGCTTGACTAGATAGGACTTAACATATATGACAGAATGCATGAAATTCAGCCGGGGGGTGGGCTATGAAGGATGTGGATCAGGAAGTGAGTCTAAATTTGATTTGATTATATGAAATGCACAAAACTCAATAAAAACATTTTTATAATTATTTATTGAATTTTTGTATATTTCAGACAGAACATCTTAATCATCTTTATACTCCGTTCCCTGTTGGCACCCTCCCACAGCCCCTTACCCCCGAAACTTATGCATTATGTCCTTTGTGTTAAAGCCTGTTGTGTCAAGTTAGTGTCCCCATATGTCCTTCAGTGCAAGTTCATCCACTGAGGTCTAGTCAGCCTATCTAGAGTCCCTCCCTTTTAGAAGGTCAGTTCTTCCTCACACATCAATAATCAGTTTCCAATAATTCTCCAACTAAGATTGGGGCCTGCTGCCCATTTCCACAGTTCCATGCTGGATTTTTGTCTGCTTGAGTTTGCGTGGTTCTTGTACATGCTGACACCATTGCTGTAGGTTCTTATGAGCAAGGTCCTAGGAGCCTGTAGGACTCTATTTCCATATGGTCATGCACCTCCTCCCTGGCTCTTATAATCTTTCCATCCCCTCTTCCAAAATGGTCCCTGTGCCCTGGGTGGGCAGAGTTTAATATAGGAGTCCTGTCCGAGGACCAAAATCTTCAGTCTTATTTTCTATGCTTTGGCCATTTGTGACCTTTTGTGTTACTGGCCCTCTGTTGCATGAGGGACCTTCCTTGATGAGAACTGAGGGATGCATTAGTGTTCTCTTTACCCCTTGCTCTTTGTTCTGTGAGCCTTAGGCATGGAAGAAGGGCTAAACAGAGAGAAAGAGGAGGATAAATGACACCTAGCTAGTGTAAAAAAAAACCAGAGAGAATCAAATTAATCCAAAAACCTACAATGATGCATACAAATTTTATCATATTAATCCAAAAACCTGAAAAATGACACATACAAATTTTCTACATCAACCCATGTGTATAACTGAAGGCTACATAACAAGAAACAATGCCAGACAGGAGAAACCTTCATTTGAGTTGTTGACAAGGATAGTCCAAGAGACCCCCAAATTTACACAGATTACTGCCACAACACTTGACTAACTCCCAGAACTTGAAGATAAGATCCTATTGCTGAAGACAGGGCATACTTTGGACACAGGATTTGGAGTAATGGTGTTAGAACTGACCTGGAAGCCACCTCCCTTGAAGGCTAGCTCTCATAGCTTTGGAGAGCACTACGCAAGCTGCTAAGGGAGAACATCAATCAATGGTCCAGCTCTAACTTCAAGGCCTAATCACCATATCAATGACCAGCACAGCAAATGACATTGGTGCAGTAGTGGCACTTTTATCTTGAGGGTAATCAACAGCTACCTAATTGGACTTAAAGCCCACTCAGTGGGAGGAAACTCATGTGTGGGACTATAAACAGATGAATACACATGGCTGGAGAGGTCATAGATCTTAGAGAAAACTCCAAGTCTGTCACATTCCTAGACAAATGTAATTTCTTACTATTGCAAAATATGGATCCTTACATTTACAGAAAATATCCCAGTCACTACTCATCAAAGAAGCTTCTTTTGGAACTGATAGAGATTATTACAGTGTTCCACAACTAGACATACACAGAGATTGTCTGTGAATTTCCCAAGCCTAAGTGGCACATCTACAATAACATTTTTTGGGAAAGAGTATTAGGCGTACCCTGTAAGGCCTAGGATCTCTTGAGCCAATGGCTTTTAAAAAAAGAATTTTATTTATTTATTCATTTTAATTTTATGTGTATGAGTGTTTTGTCTACATGCGTGCAAGTGCAACTGTGTTGTGCAATTCTCACGGATACCAGAAGGCAAGCTTTGTATCTCCTGGAACTGGAGTTATGGGTGGTTTTTAACTACCACGTGGGTACTGGGAAACAAATATAGGTCTTCTGGAAAAGTAGCCAGTGGTCTTAACAGCTGAGTTATCTCTTCTACCCCAAGCCAAGGACTTCTGAGCAGATTTACTGTACCATACATGAATTTCCCCAAGTGAAGTGGGCCTTAAATCCAATTCAAAAATGATTAGTTGTTCACAGGACCCTTGTGCTATTACTATACAAGTGGCTACATTTTGCTACAAAATCAGCATGGTCGCATTCAAGGTTCACCACTGAGTTATAACATAGGATGCTCTCCTGGCCCAGCTTCCTGCACAGCACTTTTAGTGACTATGAAAACTAGCTAGCAGGGAGGAAGGTTTTATGCTAGTTACAGCTTGCTTTCTCTGGGGCCTGCAAACAAAGTGCATTGTGTCTACAACAGTAGGGTCTTACCAGCTAGTTCTGATGGGCAACCAAGAACAGTAGCAATAGCCTGGTTGTTTGGTGGGGCTTCTGGGTCTTCCCTCACCAATAACTCAGGGGGCAGTATCCCACCCCTGGCTCTGAGATTTTCATTTAATAACCCATGTCTTCTGGGATGCAGTATCTTCCTGTGCAGGATACTTGTGTTCAAACACCTTCTTTGTTTTAAATAATATTACTTGTTTAGCTTACAGAATGCTAGGTTTCCATAAGGATTTTTCACTCATCCTTAGTTTTAGTTAGGGCCATGCCTCATCCCTTCCTCTCCTCAATCCCCTCAATCCCACCTCTGCTTAACCCTTTCCACCTCCAGTATTCCTTCTCTCTACTTTCATATCACGTTTTACTGTCCCCATTTCCACTTAAGGACACCCCAAAATGGGCCTTTCCTAGCTTCCTAGCCTCTATAGATACTATATTAAATACACAAACCTAAAAATTCAAAGCTGGGATGTACATATGAGAGAGAGCATGTAGCATTTTTCTTTCTGGTTCTGGTTACCTCTCTCACTACAGTATTTTCTAGTTCCATTCTTTTTCCTGTACATTTCTCTTTTTTTTTGAAGATAAATAAAATCGTAATGCATATATGTACTACATTTTCATTATTCATTCATCAGTTAATAGATACCCAGAATTACCCCATTTCCTGGCTCTTGTGAATAGAGCATCAATGAGCGTAGATGTGCAAGTATCTCTGTAATAGGATTCAGAGCCTTTGGAGTATATACCCAGCAGTGGTATGACTGCTTTATGTGGTATTTCTGTTTTAGCTTCTTGAAAAATCTCTGCACTGATTTTCATCATGGCTGTACCAGTTTACATTTCCACCACAGCGGAAAGGGCTTGCCTTTCCCCAAATCCATGCCAGCATTTGTTGTAATTTGTTTTCTTGTTGGTAGCCATCCTGACTGGGATCTGATAGACTCTTAAAATAGTTTTAATTTTCATTCCCTGATAGATAAAGACACTGAATACTTAAAAATATTTATTGGCCATTTGTATTTCTTCTCTTGAGAACTACCTATTCAATTCCATAGCATTTTTTCTACTGTGTTATTTTCTTGCTGTTGAGTCTCTTGAGGTTTTTTGGTTGGTTTTTTTTTTTGTATATTTTACATACAAATCTCTGTCTGATGAATAGTTGGCAAAGATTTTCTTGAATTTTGCAGGTTGCTGCTTGACTCAGTTGACAATTTCCTCTGCTACATTAGAAGCCTTTAATTTCATGAGGTCCTATCATGGTCTGATGATAGAGCCACAGTTGCATACCACACCCGCAGCTTGAGGAGTTCTTTTCAGAGCCTGCTGCCCAAGGAGCAGTCTAAAAATAGGAAGAAAGATATTCCAGCAGAGAGAGTAACCCACATGGGACAGCACACATGGCTTCTCAGTGAAGTGCACTTAGAGGTCTTCACTCTAGGCATATATGCAATTTTGGTGGCTCTCAACTTATATCTCTAAACTTGGTAAGAAGCTACCCTCCTTTGTAACTTTGCCCAAAGAGTTTAATTTTTAACAAGGGTAAAAGTTAAAGAGCTTTTTTTTTTCAATAAACAAAGCTGAAGGTGGATTTATGAGGGACACCATTTAAATCTAAGAAAAAAGAAGGGCCTGCTAGGGACTCAAGGTTATATGCCACTTTGAACCTAAGTAAGCACAGCCTAATCACTGTCCTTGGTAGTCTTGATTGAGGTGTCTCTTGGATTTTGTCATCTGACCCTAAGTGAGCACAACTCATTTATTATCTTTGACAAGATGTCTTTCAGAAAACACTTAACTGTCTCTCTGGACCACTATTATGCCATTATCAGTGAAGTCTGAAATCTCCTGCCTTCTCAGAAATAAAAGCAGATCAGATGGTTGGAGAAGGGCCTCTCTCTCCCAGTCTTTTCTCCCTGTCCTTATAAGATCCTACCTCAGTCCCATGGCAGGACTGTGACCTTATTTCCAGAGGAACTGGAGTCCTATTGAGAAAGTCTTTATGCGTGTCTACATCTTGTGCATACTACCTTTTCTTCTCGTAGTTTCAGTTTCAGGTCTTTCATTTGTCAAAGACACTGTCTTGTTTCTAATATATATTTTTGGCATCTTTCTCAAAAACCAGGTGATGGTAGTTTCATGTGTATAGATGCTTTTACTGTTCATTGCACAGTGACAGTGTAGCCAAGGGAATACTTTTTGCTTTATTTCCTATGCAGAAAAAATTGTGGTGCCAAACCCTCAGCTTCTTCAGGAGTCCAGGGATCCAAGCAGATGCAGCACATCTGCACCTGAGGTTACAGTGGGGGAATTCTTCAGGGTCATGCTTTATCTTTGAATTCCTTAACTGTAGTCCATTCAATCCTTTGCTCACCCTTTATGTCTGTTTCCCCTAGCTGAAGCCCTGATGTGCAAGGTCTGCAGCTCTTTTAAGAGAGGACACTGTTTGGTAGGCAAGGGCAACTGCACTACAAATTTCTACTCTCAGTGCAGAACCAGGAATTTCTTCATTTACTCACCGAAAGGTAATGTGCTTGAGCTGCTCTGAAGATAGCCTTGCTGGGAGGTAGATGCATTCCTGCTCAGGAAAGCAGACTTGGTGTGGAGGGAGAAGGACTTCTCACTGTGAGCTCCAAGTGCGGTTTGGAGGCACTAAGTACAAATGCTTTTATCTTCTAGATGGGTGGCTTCACAATCACACTGAACTGGACTGTTCTGCCTTGTGTTTGTTTGAAAACGCGTATTATGAATACTTGAAGATTTCTACCTTCTGCTGCAAAGATCAAGATTTCTGTAACAAATTTCATGGCCAAATCATGACGGAGAAGATTTATTAACTTCCAGTTCCTTGGGCAGTGATGGTTTGTCTCTTTAACTGTTTCCTCTTCCTGGTATTCCCTGACTGATTCCCCTTCATATATTCAGCACAAAGTACCTGTCTTTTAAACTGTCCTGGCTTTGGCTCCTTCACACCAGACACTCTGAATTCACCCTTGTTTCCTCCCCTCTTCACTTCCACATGAAAGTCATCATCAGGCTTCCATGTCTTATCTTTGTCTATCCCTAATAGTCACCCTTGACCAACTGCCTGGCCTCTAATGCTATGGACTTAGAAGTAACTGTTGAGAGTCTACCTAGGTAATAAGCTCTACTTTTTAATCAAGTGACACAGGTCTCAGTGGATATTCAATAGAAAAATGTGTCCAATTGGCAGATGGACAGAGATGCCCTAAAGTTCAGGGAAAAATGAAGACCTGAGTCAGGACATTGGGATAATTAGCCTTGGACACTGTCAGAACGCTGACAGCTAAGATGGGAGTTCTAGAGTTGTCACTGAATAGAATGAGAACAGGGCTGCACTGACCACAGAAAATAGATTCAGACACACATAGATTTGATGGAGGTCTCTCTGCAGAAGATTGATGGGTGATGGTTGGAGATCTTGGAGGGGAACCAGAATGCAACTGCTTTTCTGTTTTCTGGGGCATTTTGGAGGTTATTGATTAAGCAAGTTCACTGAAGTGTGACTGAAAGAAACCATAGCAGTGGGAAGTGGAGAATGAGAGGGCTGTGACAGAAGGGAAGGGTGGCTTGTGTAACTCTTTAAAAATCTTGGGAAGGCTTGAGAGAACAGGTCATTTTGAAACAGGAGGAATGAGCTTAAAAATTTTTTAGAGCAATATAGATTTACGTCTTCTCACATTTCACCTTTGTTTAATGTCTGTATTTGCCGAACCATTTTGGTACAATCCTCTGTTAGCATCTTACTATCTTGCTCAGTGTGTATTGAAATCATTTTCTCCAGGCTAGAGAGATGGCTCAGCAGTTAAGACCACTACCTACTCTTGCAGAAGATCCGAGGTTGATTCCTAGCACCCACTGGCGACTAACAACTGTCCGTAACTACAGTTCCAGGGAATCCGACGACTTCTGACCTCTGTGGGCACTGCATGACACAGGTGCATTTACACACATTCAGGCAATACACTCATACACACAGAATAAAAATAATAAATAAAATATTAAAAAGAAAACATTTTCTCTCCTTCAATCCTTTTCCTCTCTTGTCCTTAGCTCTTTCTTTCTTTATCTTTACCTTTTCAGTGATTTTGGATACAGGGATATTAATATTTTTATCTTAAATTACTTATTGATTGTTTCAAATTTATGATTTAAAAAATAAATATAACACACTAGTTTCTGTTGAAAAGATTTAAAAAATAAATTATTTTGTTGCTTTTACTGTTACTTTCCTTCTAGCTCATTAGAAAAACATTTAATAAATCTACCTCTTTTTTTGTAGATATGTCAAATATAAATATCCTCCACAGATTTTTCCTTCTAAATTGGGGTTAGGTGGGAAGTAAAGGGGAAGACAAGTTGGATCAGACACTATGGGGGTACAGACTGTCAGAGCCTTTTATTACAATTTAACCACCTCAGCAATATCAATGATGATGAACCTAACTCAAATGTTCCAACCCAAATTAAGCTATTTTGGGTGGTTTCACCAAAAATAACTGTACTGAATCATTGTTATGGAATCACAGCCATGAAGAAGACTTTAAAAATATATTTTAAGAGTTTCCTTTTATCACCTGACAGTCATTAGTATGGCTAATATCCAGAAGACAGAAACATGTTTATGTGAAGACGTGGAAAATAACAACACTGTATCCTTTCAGTGGGGATGGAATATAGTACAGCACTTCTGGGAATCAGTAATAACAAATGTAAGAGATATTGCATGATCCAACAGTTCCATTCCTGGACATCCACTTAAAGAATTAGAAGAAAGGCTTTATTCATTATTTTATTTTATTTTATATTTTATTTTATTTTATTGACACAGGGTCTCTCCATAGCCCCAGCTGGCCTAGAATGCTCTATGTAGACCAGATTGGCCTCAATCTCACAAGGATTCACATGTCTCTGCCTCCCAAGTACTGGGATTAAAGGCATACACCATCCTACCTGGCTCAGAAACAAAGTTTTAAAGAGGCATTTAAATATGGATGGTGACAGCAGCATTATTCACAGTACCTAAGAAGGTAGTAGCAACCCACAAAAGATAAATGGACAAATGGTGTGAATATATACACAGCATGAAAAATGAATGAAATCCTAGCATGTGCTGTAACATTAGGCTAAGTGAAATAATCCAGCCAGAGAAAGGCAAACAGTCTATGATTCCAGTCACATCTAAAAGCAGAAAGTAGAATGTTGGCTGCCACGGCCAGGGAAAGAAGAAATGAAGACTTATTTAATGGGTCTGTAGTTACAGTTTGTAGAATGAAAATTCTGGGAGATCTGCTATACAGCAGTGTGAATATACCTAATATTACTGAACTATAAATTTAAAAATGGTGGCTATTTTGAATTTTATGTATATAATTTACTACAATTAAAATTAAAAAGGTTTAAATTAAATTACTAAATTAAAATATGGTGCAGCTGAAATGGCAAAACTAATTCCTTTTGCTCTAGCTGACTTTTGCTTTACCTTGTGTTTTTGCCCAGCCATTCCCACTGCAGCCAGTTAGGCAGAACTTCTCATGCAGGTAGTTTCAGGAAGTATATTGTTTCTACAATACTAGGAAATTTACAAGTAGCCAGGTAGCATGTCCAGATAGGACGTCCTCCTGCACAGCTACACCCGAATCTCTATGGAACCCATTGTTTCTACAATTCTGAGAAACTTTTTCCTTATTGAAAATTTTTGTTAACTGAAAACCTCTTTGTTAACTGACCTGCCCCTGGTCTAGTGTAACTATGGTGATCTGACCTAAGTGTGGTTATAGGCTTTGCCCCTGGCATGATGTAATTGTGGTTTTAAGCTTTATAAACTCTGCCCTGCTTCTCCTCATCATCAAGAGTCCTCTTGGGAACAAGGCCCCTTTCTGACCACTGGCTTGCTAGATAGCTTATAAAGGACTCCTAATTCGATCGTCATCGTGGCATTCCTCTGTGCAGTCTTGCTCAATATTACACAGCAAGATGGCTTGGTAGGTAGAGGTGCTTGCTACCTATTGAAAATGATGGTTCATTTTCAAAGGTACCTCAAGCCAACCTGGGTCTAGCTACAAATGAAAACAAAGCATTGGACCCTTGAAAATGCCTGCTAGTCTAGGTATCCCATACACCCAAATTCTGATAATCTACCTCCACCCAAACTAAAAGTTTACAGTAGAATTCTACAGCCAAGCTTGCCTGCAAGGTCTTGCATCCATTAACTTTTAAAATAAGCAGGATGTAAAATGATGAGATGAACCCATGCACAGTTTTCATTGAGAAAAACCAAACATGAGGGACAGCGGGAAAGACAGGACCTAAATGATACATAAAATTACCCCCTTCTGATTATTCAAAAAAGAGATGAAGGGCCATGCATTCAGAATTTATAAACTGTTCTCTGTACTCAATCAGCATGCGTGTCATTCTAGGTTGATGCCTGACTTTGTAAGATTATAAAATAGACTGCCTTGGTTTTACTAGTTGTCTCCAGTGCTTTATTATTAAATGAAAGTGTTCTTATTATGACGTGAGGATCATTGTTTCTCACACTGCCAAGCCTGATGATCTGAGTTCAATCCCCAGAACATATAAGGTAGGAGAGAACCTACTCTCATAAGTTGTCCCCTGACCTCCACACATGCACCATGACATCTGTGCCCCCTTTCCCCAAAGAAAGAAAAGATAGAAATTAAGATTTATTTTTATTTATGTGTGCGTTGTATGTATGTATATGCCACATAGGTGTAGCTGCCTAAAGAGGCCAGAAGAGAATGTCAGATTCCCTAGGCCTGTAGTTACAACCAGTTGTGAGCTGTCCCATGTGCATGCTGGAAACCAACCTCTGGGCCTCTGGAAAAACAGCAAGCACTCTTAACCATTGAGCCATCTCTCCATCCCCACTGTCCACAAAATTTTTAAGTTAAAATAAAAAGATGGGTATAGTGGCACATGTCTTTAGCCCCAGGACTTGGGAGGCAGAGCCGGGAGGATCTCTGTGAGATAGAGGCCAGCCTGGCCTACATAGTGAGTTTCAGGTCGGGTGGGGCTACAGGGAGACCCTGCCTTTAAAAAAAGACTGTAAGACTGTTGTCCAGGGCTCAGAGGGTACTGAAAAAACAGAAAGAACAAAGTAAGAGAGATGAATTCATAAGACAGACGTCTACTGCTCTCTATAAAAGAAAAAAATTAGTAAAGAGAAGGAAGAAGAAAAGGAGGAAGAAAGGAATGAAGAACCGCTTTGCTAAATCGACAAGAGCAAATGGGGAGAAAACCCTTTGTCTGTTATTACCCTCTCCCATGCAAATCCAGTGGCCATTTGTAGGAAATCCAGAAAGTACAAATATGCAAAAAGAAAAAATTAAAACCCCCAAGTACTCACACTAGAATTTACTGACTTGTTCTAAGTGGTTTTATATGGAAATGTGGAAAAGTCACTTTGCAAGAAAAAAATAATACCTCAGTACAAAGATCAAGGTTGTAGTTACCAGCAAAAAACCTGTTTATTGTAATAAATATACATTTGTTAAACTGCACCATTTTAGGGTGTGATGTGAATTACACTTCACAATGATCTCCCCTCTCTGTCCTCTATTCATAATCAATGTGACAATAAGACAAAACATCAGATGAACTCAGGCATGTTATGAAAAGTTCCAGTTCCTCTCTATTCAAAATTATCAAAACAAACTAAAGAAAAAGCCCGAGACACTGCTCTAGCCCAGGGTGAGGAGGCTGAAGAAGAGGCACGCAGGTTCTGGAGAGAAAAAAAGAGCTGACAAGACACTGATGAAACCTGGTGTGGAGTGCAGGTCCTGGTCATGAA